AAACAAGCACACAAGCACATACACACATAAATTATTTAAGCATATAGTGTACATCTACATACACATACTCTCACGTGGTGTTAAAATATTGCATATCCTCCTGTCCGTGATGGTTTCTTGTAAAATGACTCAGTAATGGATACAGTGAAAACTCATCATTTACTCACCCACTACCCTAGCTGATGAACAGAATCAATTCTGCTTTATGAGCCTTTAAAGTGAAAAAACAATTGAGGCGTGTAACAATATACAATAAAATAATGTTTTGATTTTGAATAAAACTATATATAAAATTGGGTTTCTATTCTAGCTCTGATGATAATAGCAAACAGTCAGAACTAAAAGCTTGTGTTCTGTCAGGTTTGCGTGTTTTAATAACTTCTCCTACAGTATGTGTTTAATAACACTGCACATGACTGGCAAAATGAAAATGATCACATTATTTAGATTATTATGTAATGAGATTCTAAACAATATACTCTTAATTAAAGTTACATTATATTAAGTTTAAAATAAATACTCATAATCAGATTACAGTTCACTTTTTATGGATAGCATGATTACATATTAGTCAAACAATAGCAGTAAATTTTTTTTATTAATTGAATCTCCAGATTTGTTTGTTCTCCAGTAAGTTTTAAAATGATTTTGTCGTATTGCTTGGATAATTTTTTTTATATTTCACAAGTACAGTATAATGACCATGAAAATACCCTGCACTGTAAATAAATAAAATCAAAGCTTCTGAATTTCAGGAAAAGCACCCTTAGCAACATAAGAAAGACATAATAATGCTAAACACTGGTGAAGTATAGCTGTGATGTTATCATACCCAGTGACCATCAGTACCTCTTGATTTTTGAAATAATACTTAATAGTGGCATTGTCATTTTTGGTTTATTAATGTTTACACACACAATGCAGGGATTCACAATTGATTGTCAGCCAAACAAATAATTATCATTTAGGTAACACTAAAGTAAGTAAAATACTAAAGGTAATGCTAAAATAAGTAACTATTACCTTTACCTCGACAATTTTCATTATGTAATCTATAACCAGTACAGTACAATATTTTTATTCAGTTATTGCTTATTTTTATTCAGCTATTAAGCTGTGGCCATTACTGGCATCATTTCACAGTTAAAATACCATTTGAGTGATTATATAGACATGAAATGCTCATTCATTTTTATTTAGTGCTGTAAATAAAGAGAAAAGAACAAATCACATTCATGCGCACTTCCTGTTGTTTGAACCAAGGGAGCTATACTGTGACCTGTCACACCATCGAAAAGCATCAAAACAGCGTTTTGCATAAAATTCACTGATAAAATGGACAGAAACTGAAAATGACTTTGTGTTTGTCAGAAAACTAAAAACTCAAAATCCCAGGTTGGTCTGTTTTCATAATACACTACACTGCCAAAGGTTTTAGGACACCCCTCCAAATAACTGAAATTGACTGGCCTGCACAAAGCCCTGACCTCAACCTGAAAGAACAACTTTGGGATCAATTAAAGCAAAGACTACAAGCTAGGCCTTTACATCCATCAGTACCTGACCTCACTAGGCATGGGTTGGTAAATGATTCTGACGGTATGATGACCTTGCATAAAAAGATTACAGTTTCACGGTATTGTGATTACTGCTCTAAAATTTATTAATTTGAAATGTCTAGGTAAAAATTACTTTTTCATCTTTGAACACAATATTTTCACAATATATATTTTATTTTGAGAGACATTTAAAATATTTTGGAGCAGTAAACATGTCAGGCAAAATAATGAATCATTGACTTCTGCTGTCTTCATTAGGTTCAAAAACACTGATTTCTTTACAATATAAAACGGCATTTTTGAAAATATTTTCTGCTGGAGATACTGTAATCCTAAAAAAAAAAAAAATTAAATCTCACAAATATCATAGGAACGTATAACAGAACATTTTAAAACCTTGAATTTTCCAAACCGCAGTATACCTTCAAAACGGTTATCGTCCCATGCCTAGACCTCACAAATGTGCTTCTAGAAAAATTATCCAAAATTCCCATAAACACACTCCTAAACCTTGAGGAAAGCCTTCCCACAAGAGCTGAAGTTGTTATAGCTGCAAATGGTGGACCAACTCTATATTAAACTCTACATCTGGTCAAACAAACATCTAGCCCCGCCTCTAAACTCATGCCATTAGTTAAATTGCTGTTGCTGGTCTCCATGCTTAAACAAACAGAAAAATGTTTGAAAGCACTGCAGGGCCAAACTGTTAAGGCTTTTTTTTAGAAAAAAAAAAAGAATGGCTTATATAAAGTCGTCTCTGAGATAAGATTAAAAAAAACACACACTTCACCTTTAAATCTCAGCTATAGCAGGATGAGCAGTTCAACGTCAACAGCAAACTATCGTCATCATCTTTGTGTATTTTCACCTCTCGACCCCTCGCTGGAGACAGGAAGAACAAAACTACATGAAGCTTGTATCCCACAAAAGACGAGCCACAAAGTCTTCAAAACATAAACACGCACATACGCACACTTGAAAACTCTCCTCCGTTCATTTTGAGCAGAAACCTTTTCAAATAAACAAGAATCCCTCTCATCTTTCCATATTTTAAGGGCAATGATATAAGTGTGTTCCTGATTCAGATAAAAACATTTGGGTACATTAACTTAAGTCTGGCTTCGATCAGAGAGCACTAGAAACAGAAGTGTTTACCCAGAGACTCTTCAAAAGCTTGCTGAAGTTGAGAGGACACTGGCAGACAGGAAATTTAGGACAGAAAAAAAAGGCAAGCAAACATTACTGTCATGTCCTAAAATGAATCAGACATGCGCCACATACTGTAAACTAACTTTATCAGTTTCTTTTATGCAAGGTTTATCAGGATTATCTAATTGTTTGAAGCAGGCTGGTACCAGTAATCATTATTTTATACAAACAAAACTGTACCTGCTCAACAAGCTATGACTAAATAAAAGCCTCACAAACCAGGTTTGATTTTCTGCATGTTTTGACCAATAATTATACATTCAGGTATGAAATATTTCAAAAGTCAAGACAAAATGCAGATAAAACAATAAACATCTTCTGAATTAATTACAAGTAGTGATGATAATGATTCACCTGACTTATAAATTCGATGCGATTTATGATAGTAATCTTACGATTCACGATTTAGTCATGATATTTTAACAAAAAATAAATAAAAATGCTGCTTATGTCCAGTTAAAGCAAGTTTGCTCCTGTGAACATTTCCCCCTCTGTTCAAAACATGTATTGCAATTCTTTCAATATTGCTACTCATCTGAATAGAATAGTTTTTTTAAATATATCGTTTTTGTTGACGCAATAGCCTAGTAGTTAGCGTACCAACATACAGTATGGTGCGGTAGCACTTGAGAGTGCCCCGAGTTCAAATCCCATCTCGAGAACATTTTCCAACCTTAACCCCCTCCCTCTCTCCCACTTCACTTCCTGTCTCATTACTGTCCTATCAAATAAAAGGCAAAAGGGCCGAGAAGTTATATTTAAAGTAACAAAATAATTGTAGATTCAAAGTTTTAGCCTTTACTTTTTAGCTTAAAGTGATGACTTTTCTGCTAATTATTTCTGCTATAATGTATTGCATTTTTGTGAATAAAAATAAAACTAAATAAAATCTTTTTATTTACTATTTTACTTTCTGATCTTTCCTGTAGACCATTGCAATAATAAACTATATAATATGTTGAATTATAAATACAAAAATAAATTTAAGAGAAATTTATTATACACTTAAGAGAAGTAAAAGTCTTATTTGTTTTATTTCGGCTAAAATAAAAGCAGTTTTTAATTTTTTAAAAGCCATTTTAAGGTAAAAATGAATAGCCCCTTTAAGACATTTTTTTTTCGATATACAATAACTTGCTTAATTACCCTGACGTGCCTAGTTAACCCAGATAACCTAGTTAAGCCTTTAAATGTCACTTTAAGCTGTATAGAAGTGTCTTGAAAAATATCTAGTCAAATATTATTTACTGTCCTCATGGCAAAGATAAAATAAATCAGTTATTAGAAACGAGTTAATAAAACTGTGTTAAAAAAAATCTCACCGTTAAACAGAAGTTGGGGGGAAAATAAACAGGGGGGCTAATAATTGTGACCTCAAATGTATGTACACTGTTAATACTGTTAAAGCTGCATCAGAAAACATAGATAGAAAAAAGATAAAGCCACACAAACAAGGTACGTTTGACCAAACACTTTCCAGCTGGCTCAAAAATTCAAACTCAAAAAGTTCCATGCATACAGTCAATTCGAACAGTTTCCAACCTGAAGACCAACACAAATGTATTCATATAACTGTGGCTGCATTGTGATTGATGATTTTATAGGTAAAGGAACACCTGTTAAAATACAAAAGTGGAAAGTGTGGGTAATGAATAGGCACAAGGTTGGCCAATGAGAGAAAAAAAGGGAGTGACTGATGTTTAAAAGAGGAGGGACACTGGGAGAAAAACACTGGCTCTTTAGTCAAACCAGTTTGGCAGCGAACCCATGACAATAAAATGCAATCAAAAAAGTGTCACCAGAATAGATGTATTGTATTTTAACAGACAAAAAGAGAGAAGCATAAGAAGAGAGAGAAAGACAGGAAGGGAGAAACATGTTGTGTTTTGTGAGCCTCATATACCCTACAGTACATGGTAGCAGTAATCTCTGTTTTCCATGCCCGCTTGCCTAGACTCCCAGGAGAATGCTGGTGAAATGCCACCTATAACATCACATCCGTTCTCTCGCCTCTGAACTTTCAACAGCACAAAGACAAACAAAACATTTGTTTTTCCTGATAGTTCCCAAAGCTCACATGCTGACAAACTCTAATTGTGCTGGAATATTCCAAGGGATAAATGCATTGGCATACATGGAATTTTTCTGTCCACAAAAACACTAAGAGGTGTACATTTTTCAGTTTGGGTCGCACCTGCAGGGCTTCCCTTGTAACACATTCTGATGGCTTACCTTGGATGCAAGCCGCTGTTCGGGACAGTTGGGATGCTGACACAAGAGGCCGGGTTTCTGTTCAGGTGCAGGTTTCTCACCTGGAATATCATAAATAGAGGTTAAAAATCAACTTGAAGTGTGTGTAGGCCAAACTCTAAAAGTACCCAGCAAGCATATTTGTTTTTAAAAGAGATTTAATAGATGTCTAATAGACGTCTAAACATAGTTGTCTTGGCTAAAACAAGGCTAAATTTGGGCTGTCAGTGAAAATCTAATACACATCTAAGAATCCTAATCTAGGCCTAATCTAGACTATTCATTAAATAAACAGAAATTAATGACTACACATATAAAGTCTGTCTAATCTGTCTTTTTGACAACTAGTCTAGCTTCAGGCTATTCTTAGATGTCTATATATTTTCATTGACAGCCCAAATTTAGCCTTGTTTTAGCCAAGCGGTCAACGTTTAGATGTCTATTAGATGTCTAATAAACACAAAATTGTTTGCTGGGTACTGTCACTTTAACAAAGTTTCTCTGACAAAAATAAAAACCCACTGTCATTATCAGTAGTGTTTGTTACAACAGGTCTTCCACTCACTTTTTGCCAGTTCATGAGACAAACTTGAACCCACTGAGAGAACTGTGTGGGGAAATCTTTTGACTCTCAGATGAGTCTGTGTAATTCTAGCCTGTTTGGATTCCAATTGAAATGACTGTATTTTGCCCACAGAAATTCGCTAGACAATGCTTAATGTGACTGTGCATGAAGGCTATGGGTTCCCTTGTGAATATCCAACTGATTTCATTTATATAATACAGCTTTTGGGTTTATGAGTAAATAAGGTTTGTGGTAACATTATTTGCAGATTTTGAAATCTTGCCGCCCACAAAACTCTTACTAGCTGGCCTCAATTACACAGTTTCAAATGCGCCTCTTTAAGCCAGGGAAGTGAGGTTTGCTCGGTCAATTGCTAGCTGTTCTTCATTACACTTACAGTATCCCCCTGTACCTAATGTTTTTATCTGGGTCATGGCACTAATGTATCTAAATTAAGCACCAAAAAAGATGCTAAAAGATCACAGCCTCTAGCTTCAGTCACTAGTGTCAAAGTCCCTTTAAGGAAAATTATTTCACTTGGCGGCCATCTTTGAAATGCCTCTCGGGCAGTATGCTCGTGCATTCTGTTTGAATGGAGAAACATCAAATTTTCCAAAACTGCTTGCCAAGCTTACGATTGAATTTCATATTAGGAATCACCAATAGAATTAAACAACATCTGTCTCTTCATCAGTTTCATTTCTAATTGTCCAAATCACAAAAAAATCTGCAGAAACTCATGTATGGTCCAAACCCCTCCCACAAAGGATTGTCAGTTTATAGCAATCGATAATTGGCTTCTGTACTACAAGGCAGGCTTTTTTCCATCATATAGCGATCCATGATTTGGTCCTTTGGCTTTATTCACCATATTGACAGTTACACTTTTCCCTATTCAAAAAGATACTAATGACATTTCTTGTGTTTGCTATAGTCTTTGCTAGTGTCCAGCATCAGGTCACGGCACCAATTTAACCCCTTCGGTTCTGTTCAAACCTCTCTAAACACACTTGAAGCTAAAAGGTGTGTTTGACGTGAAGCAGATGCATTGGTATATGAAATCAAAGTACAGTAAGGTCAATTTGAAAGTATGTTGAGCAGTCACCAATTAAATGTGTCTTACAGGATATCACACAGCAAACTGGCATCTGCAGATTGCAAAAACCGAAGAAACAAAGAAGCTAAAGACCACAGCGTCCAGCATCACTCACTAGTTCACCTATTGAGGCCAGAAGATTTCAACTCACACAGCTCTTACTAGATAGTCTCTGATCTAAATCATGCTAAAAAGCCATTCGAAATAGAAAACAAAAATCTTTTTTTAGGGCTGAACCACTTTATGTGAAAGAATCAAGTACCCAGAAGTAATCTAAAGGAGATAAATGAAGAGATAAATGTGATTGAGACATTTTGTACTAGGGCTTCCATTAAGGGACTGAACACAGTGCCTGTGGGGATATGTCCTTGGGCATGAGCCAAAAGACATAACAGCAATACAGGACTGCAAAAGATGAGGCAGCTGGGGGGATACTGTACTGTATGTAGGAAAGAGAGCAATTGAAAAAAAAATCAGAGAGAGCCAAAAAGAAGAGTTAGTGATGCAGTGAAGTTAACTACTAAATTGCATGATGCATTGTATAGTTGACTTTATAACATAAACAACTTGAGCTAGCCATGGCATCCTTTCTTTCATTCCAGCTGTTAGGACCATAAAGACAAGTAACTACCAAGGCACCAGAAGTGGTTATAAAATTATCTCAGTAAATAATTATTCCTGAGGGAAGATTTGACCGAAAACTGAAGGATCGACAATAACACAAAAAGGAAAAGAAAGAGGAAAAGGAGCAAAAAACAGACAGAGCGAAAAAAGTTGGCGGAAATCTGAGATTTCCAGACATTACAAGTTTGCTGGCAGACTAGCTGATTTTCCTTTCAGTGAGGGCAGTGATATTCCTCTTACCTAGAAACCCACAGGTTTTCATGTGAAAAAATTCAGGACTTTTTATAAATTTTATTCTTATAATAATGCCACCTCACAACTGGTCAAAATAAGCAGTTGATGTGTACACACCAAATCTGACTTTGGGATATCAAATATTGCTAAGAAACAATCTTATTCAGTCTGATTTCTTACAAAATATTGGCAGATCTACATTACAGTGATGATAATTGCAAGAAACAGTTCTTATATGAACTTTTAGGAAATATATAACATTAGTTCATTAAGAAAGCTCTGCTATATTCATTCATTCTTTTCGGCTTAGTCCCTTTATTAATCTAGGGTCGCCACAGCGGAATGAACCGCCAACTTATCCAGCACATGTTTTACGCAGCAGATGCCCTTCCAGCCACAACCCACCTCTGGGAAACATCCACACACACTCATTTACACTCATACACTACAGACAAATTAGCCTACCCAATTCACCAGTACCGCAAGTCTTTGGACTGTGGGGGAGACCGGAGCACCCAGAGGAAGCCCATGGGAACGCAGGGAGAACATGCAAACTCCGCACAAAAACGCCAACTGAGCCAGCCAAGGCTCGATCCAGCAACCTTCTTGCACTACCTCCTGCACCACCGCATCGCCTAGCTCTGCTATACATTTTATTTTTTTGTAGCTTAACCTATATGAAAACATTTCATTTGCACCATAACTAAGCCACTAATTGTGCTTTAATATAAATCTCTTTTGAATCATTTTATAAAAAGTTTTATGAAGACCAACATGGTTGTGGTGAAAATTAAACATCATACATGAGAAAATCATTGTGCTTGTTAAACAATTCTTATTAAAACTGCAACAAAACTTTGGAGTTTAAGAATAGCAAATTGTTCTAATAAGTGTAAAATCATGAAATAACAAAAAAATGAATGAATAACAAATAAAAAAAAACAACATAAAAGAATTTAAACTTGACGAGATGCCCATTTAAAAATTGTTGTGAATGTTTGCCATATTCATAAACACAAGGTAAACATCATGGTACTATGATGGTAAATATTATGATATTGCTTGTTACTTCATCAAAGCACTGCATCTTTTCCAACATCCTGAAAGCATAATATCACCACACAGTCCAAGCTAAACTATAGATATTATCCTACAACACTGCAAGCATTCCATCTCCATACTCGCCTCCATGAAGAATACTCCATTTCTCCTTGTTTAGTCAGAGAGGCAGAGGGCACCTCCAAAGAAATCCTCTATGTGAGGAATGTGCAGAATGCCAGGATCTGTTTTTCATGCCCCTCTGTTTACCCAGTCGTTTGCTGAAGTTCCTGAGGAGCGTGAAGCACATCTACTGTCTCAAGTGCTAGAGCGGAAATATTTGATGTAATACTCGTTTCCTTTTGCCTCCACTGGAGGAACACCAAGCTGATGCCATGGATGCCAGTTGTATGATTCGGAAGGTCTGAGGATGTCAAAACATTACCAGCTCTGGAAGCAGAGTTGTCATTGATTCTTTATTCCTGGATAGCTAATCCTCTTGCATCCGAGGCTTAAATGAGATTAGCTCTCAGAACCCGACATAGCAACACTGGCTCAACTGATGCTGCATGTTTGAAAAGGCACAGGCTGCTTATGCAACCATAAACAGAAAAGTTTGGAAAACCTGTGTGAAAACAGTCATATCCACAGTTTAGTTTGGTTGCCTCTAGAGGTTAATGGTACTTCTTGACACAACTGCTCAATTTTTTTTAAATCTCCAACTTTAAAAAGCATCTAAAGATTTAATTACTAAAAAGTAATTTGCTTGACTGCATGGAGAAAGAGGGATGGAGTGACAGACAAATTACTTCCAGGACAAAGGTCATCCTCAGCGGGTCCTAATTAGGGCATTAGCACAGAGATCAAACAATAATGGCAGTATGGACAGGCTAAAAATCACTCTCCATCTGCACTTTGGTGTCACAGTAGTCTCTAAAAATGTCTGGGTACTCAGTGGAAAGCAAACATGTGGTTCTCCACACAAAAAATCAAAGAAATTGAGTGTAAAGCCATGGCTCATATAAAAATAAATAGCAAAACCTGTAGAGCTTACCCTTTCAGCATGGACTGCAAAAAGTTTATTTATTATGTAATGTTTTTGGCATTTTTCATACAATGAAAGTGTGGAGTGACATTTCAGCTTATTACTCACTGAAAACTTAAAAATCGTGCATGAGGATTTTTTGATGATATTTTTATGATTATTTGTCCTTTTTTTTTTTACTTGACAGTAATGGGTTTCCATTCACTTTTATTATATGAAAGAGCACAGCTTGTATATTTTGCTAAATGAAATTTTGCTATCCACAGGAAAAAAAGCCAGTCATGCAAGAACAACATGGGGATGAGTAAACAATGATAAAAATAACATTTTGGGCAAACTATAGGCCCTTTGAGAACAATCTTTTACTAGATTTGAGTGGAAAGGATTAGTTCACCCATTTTTCTGTTGTTATACGCATGTTCACCCTTGTGCCTCGCAAAACCTGTATGTCTTTTTCCCA